CTGAGTCCGGCCAAGACCAAGCTGTTCACGGACCAAGCCAAGTGGTGCGCATCATCAGTGGTGATGGCGTCAAGCAAGACCCTGAACGCATTGAACATCTGTGTGCGATCCCCTACCCTACGAATGCGGGTGAATTGCAAGAGTTTGTGTGCGCCGTGAACTGGCTGCGAGACTCGAGCGTGCCGATACCCCTGATAGATCGTGTAACTTGCAGTGCATCGACAATCGACGAATTCGTCAAACTTGACGGCCAACGCACACCCAGACTCGAAAAACACCCCTCTGGCACGAAAGGAAGTGTTCGAGCGTGCCGATACCCCTCACAGCTCGTGTAACTTTCAATCCATCGACAATCGACGAATTCGTCAAACTTGACGGCCAACTCACATCCGGACTCGAAAAACATGCTTCTGGCACGAAAGGGAGTCCATTGTAAGGTAGTGTTTCGACCTCTTGGACGTGCTTTTCGAGCGTGCCGATACCCCTTACAGCTCGTGTAACTTGCAGTGCATCGACAATCGACGAATTCGTCAAACTTGACGGCCAACGCACACTCGGACTCGAAAAACACCCCTCTGGCACGAAAGGGAGTGTTCGAGCGTGCCGATACCCCTCACAGCTCGTGTAACTTTCAGTGCATCGACAATCGACGAATTCGTAATGAACTGGGTATGCGTCGAGGAGCCTAGTCTTCTTGAACTCCATTGTTAGGAAGTAGACGCCCCAACAAAACGTGTCAGTGATGACAAACATCGATGGCGCGCCCGGAGCAGACCACAGCGCACCTGCATTTCGCTGGTTCTGCCTCGCTCTGCGACTCTACGCGCTTGGTGACTACCTTTGTGGCCGTGTACCCCAGTGATCTTTGCCTATGGCATCGCAATCACTCTATTTATGTCGGTATGGCTATTATTGATATTTATCATGCATTATTTGCACCTGCTTTCTAAGCAAACACTTTTCGTACTTCGCCTTCATCCTCGCCCTCGACCATATGGCGACCTGTTTGGCATTCTTCTCTTTGAGAACTTCGTCTCGAATGCCTTCAGCAGCCCGTTGCCCAGTGGGGTGGCTGTCAAGAAGGGGCACTTTGGCCGTTCTTGCTTTCGCTCACTTACGGATTATATTCGGTCATCCGGAACTATCCGGTGTTCTTTTTCCGTAGAAGCCGGACTATTTCTGCCCAATCATAGGTCGGCTAAGCAGTCCGCTAATGATCACTTTTGGTTTTGAGGAACTCTTGACCACACAAGAGTTCCTCGTCGTCGTCCGTCCTCAGTGCTACCTACTTTCACGTCCCTCTTGACAGTTAGCCAATCCCTATAACGTTAACCCAACTTACTTCGAGCACTTCAAACGCAAGTGAAATATCTATATATCTTTCACCAAGGAACGAATCCCTCAAGGCAATAGCGCGCTACCGGTAGTACATACTCTGACAGTTACGAAAACTCTGACGAAAACCTCCCGGAATTGATTAAATATATGTACTTGTTGTATTCTATGAAGTAGAAGAAATTGCTACTACTGTATTGTCAAGTCGGTTCGTAATTGGAGTCGCCAGTAGAATCGAATAGGCTTGGCAAATCGATTTGAGAATGAACTAGCCAATCAAAAGTCCATTCTAAACCCCCTTTTACAAGATTTCTGAATGGTTCAGCCAATCAACACGTTTACTAAAAAACCCATTGAACTCACTGTACTATAGTTAATACAAGAAATATTGCCAAGTTCATTTCATTCAAAATCGGTTTCACTTTTGGACTGTTCACAGTCCAAATTTGCGTGAGAAGGACAATATCACAATATCACCCACTCGAAATCGAATCGTCAAGCATCCATGTTTATTGTTAACCCAAACTTGCATGTACTGGAAAGCACCACTTTCTTTCAATGTGTTCTTATTAGAGTCTCATAATTACGCTAAGTTGCCACCTCTTAAAATCCTTAGCTACCATTACAAAGTCTCTAAACTGTACTCCCGACACACAAACACCGTACTACTGTACCATTGAGCTCAATACTTTGGTCGCTTCAGTTCAATTCGGATCCATCCAGTAAGTCTTCATCGTACTTGTTGAATAGGTCCACATTGAATCAAAGCGACCTGCTGACGAGTACCGTGACTGACGAGGTGACTGGAACTCGGACTCGAAGCAAAATCTAACGAAACACTCTGATTTACAGTTAGAAACAATAACCATTTGTTTGACGAATATATTGTCATCAATGACAATCCGTTCATGCTACACATACCTCTTTAGAGCAGTTCTTCCGGCAGAGCACGACAAATGGCTTCTAGCCGCCAAGTCTGAATATGAGTATTTACTCTCCAACGGCACTTATGCGCTCGTCAAACGTCGTCATGATGAGACGGTTCTACCGTGTCGCTGGGTCTTTCGACTCAAAGTCGATGGCACTTACAAGGCCTGACTTGTTGTTTAACGGGTTCATGCAACAAAAAGACATCGACTACACGGACATTTTTGCTCCTGTTGTTCGACTTGAAGTCCTACGCTTCCTACTTGCCTTAGTGGCCATCCATGATTTGCAATGCGAACAAATGGACTAGTCAAAACCATCTTTCTGAATGGCAAAATCGACTGCGTTATATGCATGGAACTGCCTCCTGGCTCCCTTATTGATCCTCCTAGGCTTGACTATGTCTGCCTGCTTCAACAAAAGAGACTTTATGGTCTCAAACAAGCTCCTCACCTATGGTACTGGACTTTTGTCACATTCATACCTTCCTTGGGCTTTGCCCGCCTTTACAAAGACCGCTGTGTCTTTCTCAAAGCCCAAGATGATGGTTTTAGCATCGTTAGTCTCTATGTTGACGATCTTTTGATCATTACTCCTACCAAGGCCGCTGCCGCTCTCAAGGAGTCACTATCACTACGCTTCCAGATGAAGGACTTAGGTCCTGTTCGAGATATTCTCGGCTGGGAAATCGTCCGTGACCATCCCAATCGAACTCTGTTCATCCACCAGTCTTGTTACTGTTCTACAGTACTTGATCGCTTTGAAATGTCTACGTCAAAGCCCGTCGCCACACCTTTTGAGTGCACTACGCCCCTGTCCAAGGCTCAGTGTGTTCACCTGAGGACATTGCATTTATGCAAACCAAACCCTATCCCTTGTTCACCTGAGGACATTGCATTTATGCAAACCAAACCTTATCCCTTGTTGGGAGTATTATGTACTTAGCGATGGGCTCTCGCCCAGACTTGGCTTATGCCCTACAGCAACTCTCACAGTTTCTTCTGCACAACCCGGATCTTGCCCATTGGCGTGCTGCTAAACGCGTTCTGCGCTACCTTCAAGGCACATCCCATCTTGGACTCATGTTAGGCGGCCGAGACTATGTCTCCAAGCCGTTTCTCTCCGCTTATGTGAATGCTAATTATGCCATGTGCCCCGACACTTGACGATGTGTCAGTGGACTCTTTATCCTATTTTTCAACAGCCTTATCTCATGGCTTTCGAAGAAACAAGCTATCGTGATCTGTTAACGACTGAGGCCGAGTTTGATGCTCTTACCCTTTGCATTCAAGAATGTTTATACGTTCGAGAACTCGCTACCGAGTTAGATCACACTAGTGATCAACCGATTCATGAGGACAATCAGTCTGCTATCAGAATCGCCCAAAATGCTGAGCATCATGGGCGCTCCAAGCACATTGATGTGCGCTTTATATTTGTTCGGGAGGCGACGAAGTCAAGGCTTGTCATATAGGAATGTACTAGGCCTGTTGGTGATGATGGAGTGTAGTGGCGGTAATGGTGCATAGCCAAGGTTGGGATGAAGTTGGGGTCGGTGGTAGAGTTTTGGCGATACGCCGCAGCAGCAACAACAGGGTTGATGGCTGGGAACTCAGACTCCTAGAAGGTGACGTCACGAGAGTAGATCAGTAAATAAGAGTGCAAATGCATGATAGTATAACCCTTTCGATCATGCGGGAGACCCACAAACATGGCCTTGACGGCACGGGGATCGAGATCGAGATTGCGCGGCACATTGAATGTACACAAACGCGGTGCAACCAAAGGTTTTGATGTGACCCAAAGATGGGTGTCGTTTAAAGACGACGTGGTAAGGTGAAACATCTTTGTTGGATGCCGAAGGAGAGATGTTGATAAGCCATGAGGCTGCCCCTTCAATGAGCATAGCTCGCATCTTTTGGACAACAATGCCGATACGTCGTTCGGCAACAGCGTTTTGTTGGGGGGAGTAGGCGTTGGAAAAAGCCACCCGAGTGTTGTACTTGGGCTTGATAATGCGCCCGAGTTTCTCGTACTCTTTTGCGTTGTCGCTTTGAAGGGTGCCAATGTCCATAGGTGATGAGTGGCGCAGCTCACAAACATCAAGTTTAAGAATGGACATCGCGTCTGTACGAAATAGTTCGTAGGTCTCATAGAGATCTTTGCGAAAACGCATGGGGTAGGACCACATAAAGCAGGAGTAGTCATCTATAAAGACGACAAAGTAGGCAGCGCCACCCGCCGACAAAATCGGGCTTGGCCCCCAAACATCAGAGTGTACAAGGGCTAGGTAAGAGGTCGCGCGGAAGACCGCAGATGAGTCAAAAGGACTGCGCTTGGACTTGGCATAAGCACAAGTCTTTCATAGTTGACCACAAAGGTGCTTGGCCTTGAAGAGCAAAAGCTCGGGGTGTGTCTTTGACATTTGGTTGAAGGCATCAACGCCAGGATGGCCGAGACGGCGGTGCCTGAGGCGTGCAAGGCTAGCTGCAGAGAGCTTGGAGTCAGCCACGAGGCTGGTTAGGCAGTCGGTTGGAACAGTAGTAGTGTCATAGACTGGGATAGGAGTGTGTGAACCAAGCATAGCCTGGGCGACACTCACGGAGACAGAGTCTGGAGTGATGGGGCAGAACGGTTTTGGCTTGAGGACCATAGATGGTCGATAAATAATCGGTGTATAGCGCAACACAGACGAATATGCAAACATGTGCAATTGAGCGTTAAAAGTGGAAAATCCACTGTAGTTCGAGAACTTCCGCAGAGCGGTCTCAAAAGTGGCCATCATGCCGGTGAACATGGCCATCTGGCCCGGATGGATATACTCCGCACGGTGCGGATCGGTGGAGAGCACAAACTTGGGCTGGCAGGGAAAGGAGAATAGGCCCATGGCATTGTTAGTGCACGAAGCACTTCACCAAGAGTGGTGGTAATTTCGCACATGTCGCGAGCCGTAAAACGGACTGAGATGCCCTCATCGGTCGCTTGGCGAACCGAGAACAAATTGAACTGTAGTTCAGGGCAATGTAGGCCAAAGGTGAGGCGTAGAACGCATGGACGAATATCGTCGGCTTGGCCACGGGACGACATATCCACGGCCAAGGTAATAGGGCCATAGCCAAGGACGGGAAGTTGAGCGCCATTCCCGACTGTAAGAGACAGTGTACAGGGCTTGGTTGGGGGTGCATGAGGCAGAGGCACCAGAATCAACAATCCAATGTTGTCGCAGAGCGGAAAAGTCGTTTGGACGATAAGTCACCGGCATAGGTAGCGGCGGGTCACCGGGGTCGCTTTCACAGTAGCGTAGGTCCGCATGAAGGGCAAAAATGCCTTGTCTACCAACAACTTGGAATGGGGGATGGGGACGGACACCGTCCACACATCTTGGGGGCAGTTGGAGAACCACCTTGATCGGTGTTTCCGAAGCCGCGGTAATAATGTCGCTGCGAGTGGCCGAGAAGGCACTGGTTGGGAACAGTGGAAGATCCACTTTCGTAGGGTTCGCAGGAATTTGGAATAATGGACGCGGCGAGTAGAGAGGCAAACGCTTGGTAATAAGTACCTCGGCAGGAGGAACTTCAGCGAAGTCTAGGTCACCGGCATCCACTGGAGATGGAAAGTGGTCGGGTAGTTCGCCCGGTGCATCAGTGATGGGAGCGAGAGTTGTAGCCGCAATAAGCGGACGATTATAGGGCGGTGATGTAAAGACATCGCAGAGTGGGGCAGAGCCCGGTTGGAACACCTTTGGTAAAACCGATGGTGGGTTGGGACGCTGAAGGACCCGGCTGAGAGTGGAGGGAGGCACGAAGTGGTGGGAGGGGATGTGGGTGTTGGCATAGCCGTTGAGTCGATTGCCCTCGTGAATAAAAGGACGAGCGGCTGCACGAGCAGCAATGCCAGCCTGGTCATTACGACCTCCACGATGAGTGCGGCCGTAGCCTTGGTCGCGTTGGCGGTCGCGGTCACAGTTATTATCACGACTGTTGTCCCGATTGTTGTTCCACCTGCCTTTCCAGGACCACTAGAGGATCTTGGTCCCCATCAATGTTGGCTATTAGACCCCTGGTTGACACTAGGCCCATCGCGATCATCGCGGTTGTTACGAGGACGTCGGATAGGACGCGTCGGAGCAACATAGTCGCGTTTTCTTTTCTTTTGAGAGGCAAAGCCAGGACGCATAGTGTTGCGGGCATAGTCCGACTTGAGGGTAGGGCACGCTGGAAGTGTGTGATGTGATTGGCAACGCCGCAGTAGAAGCAGGGCTTGTCGGGGTGGTTGACGCAATGACGGTGAGCATAGCACGGAATGGTAAATGCGTTCAAAACATGAGCGGAGCCATCGACTTTCGTAATCGCTTGGGGCATGGGCATAGGGACCACAACGGCATGCGTGACGGCTCCATGTTGGGTTCAAGTTTGAATTGTAGTGGCAGAGCCGTTGTCACCCAGACCAGAAGCTCGTTGGAGGCGGTTTGCCGAAGAGAGGCCCAAACGGCAGCAACGACGACGGACTAGTTCGCGACGGGCATAGTGGCGACGGAGCTCGTCACAACTTCCCACAATTCCTTGTCACCAATAAAGGGTTCGGACATCGCACACATAGTGTAGTAGTTCTAAATATGGTTGTGGTAATCAATGGACGAGATTGCCGACGGATCCAGAGGATTGCAGGACGGCGGGGTCCTAAACACACGGTAGCGTTTGACAACGTGAATGAGCTCCACGGATAGATTGTCGATACAACTCTCATCTGTGAATTTGAGAGTGCGTAGATAACTGGCAAAGACGGTAGGCTTACTATCTATGGGTTTGGACTGGAAAAGAGCCCCGAATTTTGATGTGCTCAACAACCTCGTAGAGACACGTAGTCGCCTGATAGAGGCGGCGAAGATTGGTAGAAATAGCCAATACCAAAACGTTGTACGCCGCAAAGCGTTGATTCGCAAGTTTCTTCGTCGCCTCACGGATAATGACCGCGCGTTGAATGGCGTTCGTGTGATTTCCGCGAGACACGCATGGCGATTGGTCTCCAACAGAGTCGGATCCACAGCGTAGAGCTCAGAGTATTCGACTTGATCGAGCTCGAGGTATATCTTGCTAATGTTGTGCGTATCGGTGTGAATGCCTCGATGGACATAGTCCTGAGTAGAGTAGAACTCAGCAAGGTAGCGGGAGGTCGCTTGGGACAAGAAGTCCATCTTCCACAAGGTGTAGGCTAAATGTCGTCGAGTGGGGTGCCCACGAAGGGCTGCACAGAGGAAGGGAGAAGGCTCATAACCTGTCAAGAGGGACGAGAAAGTAGGTACAGTACTGGCAATAAGTTTAAAGCCACCCTATAATTGTTGTGGTTTGAAGATTCTATTGTAATTATGGTCGTGCCAAGTTATGCAATCAATTCAAGCATCAATTCCATGGCTTTTGCATTCATTTCACCGCCTAAATCTGTTCCTCACTCAACCAAAGCACAAAAACGCAAAATTAGGCAAATTTAACCTGGCAAAAAGTATAAAACCACAGCGTTCTTTATGGTCATCCAAGCGTCTTTAAACAAAAACCACGCGTTTTTTATGCTCCCGCCCTTGCATTTGACCGATTCCCGCCTGTATCAGTTTTCAAACGAAAGTGCACCATGCCAGCCGGGTCCAAGCTCTCCGAAGAAGAGCAAGGTATGATTTTGGCTCTTAAAGCCGTCGGCAAAGGCCTCCGAGAGATTGAGCGCCTCATCGGACGCTCCAGGGGTGCCATAACCCTGTTCCTGAAAGACACCGCAGCTTACAACACGAAAAAGCGTACAGGACGACCGCCCAAGGTCACACGCACCGACATTCGCCGCCTCATTCGGACCGCTTCCAATTCGTTTTTGAGCTCACGAGAGCTTGTGGCGCAATGCCAGTTGACCATCAAGGCTCGTCGTGCCCGCCAATTGCTTGCCACGTGCGAGCACCTTAAGTTTGTGAAGGCCAAGGCCACTCCTGTCCTTACCGAAAAGCACAAGAAGGCAAGGCTTCAGTGGTCGCGGGATATGCTTGTCCAAGGCGCGGACATTTGGACCCAGGTCGTCTTTAGTGACGAAAAGAAGTTCAACCTGGACGGACCCGACGGCCTGAAGCACTATTGGCACGACCTGCGCAAGGAGAAGGCGATATTTTCCCGACGTCAATCTGGTGGCGGGAGCATCATGGTTTGGGGAGCCTTTTGTGCGAAAGGGAAGACCGAATTGGCGTTTCTTGATGGCGCGCAGGACAGTGGCGCCTACATTGGTACCTTGTCGAACTATTTGTTTCCATTTATCGACTATAATTATGGTCGCGACTGTGTTTTCCAGCACGATAATGCCTCCATTCACGCGTCTCGGGAGACCAAGGCATTTTTGAGCGACCATGGCGTACGCGTTATGGAGTGGCCAGCAAAGTCCCCGGACCTGAATCCCATCGAGAACATGTGGGGAATTCTTGCTCGTGCAGTATATACACATGGGCGCCAATTTGCCACCAAAATCGACCTGGTTGCTGCCATTTCCAAGGCGTGGGATGAAGTCGCGCAAAATTTGATCGAAAATCAAAACACTTGAACATGCTAAATTACCAATTTCGCTTCATGGATGAATGGCATGGTCGGCACCAAACGTAGATGAGCGATAAGTAGATGCGAGGATATCGTAGGCGAGCAGTGGTATAGTGCCGAACGTAAACCAGCCAACAGATACATCCTATCCCCCAGTGTTCATCGACAACCTCAAATCGGTCATGTTTGAACGTCGGCGCGATGCACACTACAGCATATAGGGATGGTGCAAGGTCACAAACTGTTACACATTGTACCTAATGCACTGGGTTGTTGATATGCCTAAAGATTGGGAGCCGTGCCCTACCGGTAGGTGCTCCAGAAGAGCCGCAACAACGCACACAGCGGCAGTCCTACTTACATTTGAATTTTTCCTGTGGCAAAAGCACCTTCCCAACATGATATTTCCCGAAGGATTTTCAGGGAAATTGTATTGGAAAATTCGTGTGGATTCTTGGTATACCAAATGTGAATTTTACTCCCTGTGTGGGCAAAATCGTAAAAGTGGGATTTTAGTCCCACACTATTTAGATGTTAATGACTACGTCGAATCGAATCGACGCTATTGGCTAATCCATTTTTGAGTGGATTTGATTGGCTCTTGCATAAAGGCAAGTATATTCAACCAATCAGAACTCAAGCGTGACTCAATATTGATTGGACAAACCACGCGATTTTTGGAAGTTTATAGCGAATTCACAATAATGCAGTTCGTAGAAATTAAAATCATGTCGAGATTCGAGTGTTGATGGGAAATGAACTAAAAGGGTGAAAATAGCTGAAAACAGTTCCGAGCCACCACCTGATTTTATCCAGTTTTCTCTAAAATTCAAGTAAAGTTGCAGGTGATTGGTTGAAAATTTCAGAGTGATTGCTTTCTACCAATATGTATCGTGGTACAGAACCCAGTTGTCACGGAACTGCGACAATACAGTACGTCTAGTAGTACTATTAATAGTTATTAATAGTACTATTTACTGTTAACGTGCTCCCAGTGTACTAGTACCACCAATAACACATAACACAAGTCGGTTGCGGGGTTCAGTTATTGTCCTTTTACCCAAAATTTGGACTTTTGTGCTGGTTCGCCAAATCTATCGATCGATTCTTTGTACTGACTTTTGTATGTAAAGGTAATCCAGTTTCACACTAATATAATTCGCACACTAATTCGATGTTGAATTAGTCGAAGAGTGGATTTGATTGGCTACTTGTTTCGTGATCTGGGTTTTGATTGGTCGATCGATTGCGTCCCCACTTTAATTTCGAATTGACTTGATAATAATGTACTACCCGCCCATTCCTCGCTCGTCGCCGTCACTGCCGTCGTGGTACTCTTCTTCCTCGTCTTCTTGATCGTTTTCTTTCTGAATGGACGGCTTGGTCAAGCTCGGAAACACCAGCAGGCGCTGGCGCCAGCAATCCGCCAACTGGTCCTTGGCCGAAGGCAGCATAGCATCGTTATCCTGCATCATGGCTTCTACGTACGCCGCCGACGACTGTCTACTTTACACATCAGTCACAATTCCGGTACTCAAGCACTCTTCCACGATTGTACTAATTAGTACCTAATCTTTCCTCGAGTACCTAGTACTAGTACCTATTCCTACCACATTCTCCCCACAGCATCACAGTTGTAGTACCGAGTACCTAATTCTACCACAGACGACTACAAATCTCACACCAGTCAACCATCATTCAACCCCTGTGCCCTCCAGATTACGTACATCCCAATCAGCCACAATTCACACAAATCTATGCCTCGAGTACCTTATACCACATAGTACCTAGTACCAACTTCCAACCACCACAGTATGTACATACTTTGCGATCGGGGGCGACAGCTGCGCCACCACAG